CCCAGTGGTCATTGAAGCCCCCCCCGTCTTTGGCATATCAAACCCTTGCCCTACGCATACATACATAAAAGAAGTAACTAGATGTCAGATACAGACAGAAGATACTGATATCTTCATATGCCTCGTTAGGCAAGTGTCCAAGTCCTGCGAAGGTCTGACCGCAATTCTCCCGCTCCTTTCATCTAATCTCATTCATCTCGCCTTGCATATGCACTGACAACTCGATCTCTCCATGCATGCATGCATGCATAAAGAACAGATAGCCATCGATGGAGAATTAGGAGACGGGCATGGTAATAATTAGTTAGTTATACTAGAATTTTCAACTATCCCTTCCTAACGGTCATGAGAAAAAAACAAGAATACGAAACGAAAAAAGAGAAAGTCTTGCAAAATTCCAGCGACGAGAGTATTCTTTGAACTCGGACAGACTGAAAATAGACGACCGAAGGAAAAAGTGGGTGGAATCAGACAGGAACACACATGGAGACATCAGGAGGCAGGTATAAATGTAGATGTAAAGATGGGAATAACAAACGAAAGGAGTAATGGCCAGGAAAAAAAAAAGGACAAAGCTATATACGGCCAATCGATTAAGTACACGGCAAGCTAAGTCGATGGTGAAAGCTGGACATGAAAGCTGGACAGTCGGGCAAGGAGGAAGGGGTAAGGTTTGTTTGTTTTGTTGTTTGTTTGAGTGGTATATTATATAGTTGGAAGGAGAGGCGGCGGTGAGATGCTTCTGGGAGAGCAAACGGATGATGTGAGATTTGATGCCCGCTGTATTAGCCTGAAAGAAGGGAATTCGCTCCATTCTACGAAGATTTTCCGTAGGCGCGATCGATGTCCTTCTGGTACTTGTTCACCAGCTTCTTGCGCTGTAGCTTCTGTGCTGCGGTGACAAATCCCTGTTCAACGTGGTTAGAGAAGGAAGTTTATGATATATATAACAGAAGATGTATGACTTACGTTCTGAGGAGTCCATTCCTCGTCTGAGAGGACGACACCTTCGATGATCTCGAAGCCACGCAGGCCAGCGGACTTGCCTACATTCTGCATGTCTCTCAAGATGATGGAGTTGAGCTTCTTGTCATGAACAAGAGTGCCGATGCTGTCTCCCTGGATGCCGTTGGACTTTGCAAGCTGGAGCAGGGCAGGCTCTGCAGGCACGATGATGGCAACAGGCTTAGCCTGGTCTTGAGCGGCGTATACGCAGATATTAGCCACAACGGGAGCAGAGCGGTAGATGGACTCGAGTTTTTCGAGAGCGATGTATTCGCCGTTCAGGGACTTGACGAGGTTCTTCTTGCGGTCAATCACCTTGATATGGCCGTTGGGCTCGAACTGGCCAATGTCACCGGTCATGAACCAGCCATCAGGTGAGAAGGCGGCTTTGGTTTCTTCGTCGTTGTCGAAGTAGCTATTTGCAACGCTCACACCTCGGATCCAGATCTCACCCTGGGGCGGGTCATTTTTGGTAAAGTAACCAGCATCAGCGAAGTCGACGAGTTTCATCTCGACGGCGGCTGGGATTTCGCCTATGGCATCGTTGGTCCAGGCCATGGGATCGTTGAGACCACCCATAGCAGAGGTCTCGGTCAGACCATAACCGTTGATCATGGGGCATACAGCCATGGAGAGGAATCGTTGAGTCTCTCTTGAGACTGGTCCACCACCGCTGAGAGTGAGGCGCAAACGGCCTCCGGTGGCATCTTTGATCTTCTTGAAGACAAAAGAGTCTAGTATGCCGGCGCCGGGCAAACCAGTGGACATTAAGAACTCCTTGGCAGCCATACCAGCCCAGAAAATGCTCTTGACGATGGCACTGTTCTTGTTGACGTTGCCGATGATGCCCTTCTTCACAGATTCCCAGACCATGGGAACACCGACGAGAATAGTTGGCTGGAGCTCGCGGATATCACCCTTGCAGTTTCTGACGGAGGTGTCTGAGAGGGTCTTGGGGCTTCCATAGCCCATGGTGCCACCCCAGAACAGACAGAGGTTCTCAAATACGAATTCGAGGATGTGGGCTTGAGGCAGATAGGTCAGGAGCACGTCGCTGGGACCGAGATAAGGCCCAACAATTGAATCACCACCCGCCACTAAATCAACCTGTCAGAGCCATGTACCTCTCTCGTCAGCTTAAGCGGATGACTTACTAGCACCGACAACGTTTCCGTGGGTGAGAGGAACACCCTTTGGCGGACCC